TTAGTTTTTATTTCCTAGCAAACACTTGGATGTCGAATTAACATTGAGATTACAACTCTCGTGCATCAAAACTGAAAACCTTGCTGAACAGAGTGAGAGAATTTAAATAGGGAATTTATGGCTGCTGGCTGATATGATTTCAAATTTGGTACTGAATCTAACAGTCCAGCCACTGCTTTAAAAGTCAGCTTATTGTTTGGGTTATAAAGAAAAAAACAGAGATGAAAGAAGTATTCAGATCCTTAATTCAAGTAAAAATATTGTAAAAATAATATTACAAATTAAAAATAATCCAGTATGATTAAACATCTTAAAAGTATTAAAGTGCACAGAGGGACTATCAGCAAAGTGCGCTGTGCTGTACTGGCAGAAATGGAATACAGTATAATAAGTGTGTTTTCTTTAGTGTATAATCACCTGAAAATAATAATCATCGTGTTTTCATTCCCCACATAGGGAACTGGTCCTTGTCTACTGAGTCCCCAATGTTCCACTGCCTTATTTCTACAGTAGCCCAGAATGGACAAACCAAAGGCTGGCTCTAGATAGGGCAATTCACATTTTCGCGTCAGCCATTGTGTTAGCAGACCCTCCCTGATGAGCTGTGTTGGAGAAACACTGATTTTCTTTTTAACGTGAAACTGCTTTATTTAGTGTTTTTACTGGTTTAATTCACCAGGTTTGTTTTTTGGAGAGGAAGAGACCCCTGCAGAGTATTTGACTCCCAGTAAAACATCTAACATCTGAACATCTGGATCTTAAGTTATCAGGGGTAAAAAAAAATGAGCACACATTAGCAGGTGCTGCACTAGCGGCCCATTTTCGACATGCTAAACAGCGTTGGAGAAACCCTGGTTTGTAATGTGAAACTGCTTTATTCAGTGTTTTCACAGGTTTTAATCACCTGGTGTAAGTATTACTGATGTTGTGGCCAGTGTCGGGAAGTAACTAGTTACATGAAATTAAATTACAAAATGAACAAGCGTGCACCGATTTTCGTGCATTTTGGTGAAACTGCAGGGGCTGCTCTTTAAAGGATGTGGCCCTCGCACTGAGGTCGGTGCCTGGGCCCTAATGAAATTGTAATCAGTTACAGTTACTAAGAAAAAATGTAATTAAATCACAGTCACTAATCAAAATGGTGGGGATCACAAAGGAGTCACATCTGAATGTACTATTTAAAAAAAAGCTTATATAATATTCTGTCGCTTTGCATCTTTTCACCATGCAGGAATGCCAGTTGTAACACCAAATTCTGTGACCCAGTACCAGACAACAGTAAAAAATTGTTGAGTTTTGTGAGTTGCTGAGTGGTCAGGGTTAGGGTTTAGGGGCTGGGTCATGGATTCTGACAGGGTAGGGTTAGCGTGATCATATCTATCCTATTTCCAGATGTTTTTCAGCTTTATTGCCCAGTACTAAATATTTGTTTGAAAAGTAATGAAAAAGTAATCAAATGCAATAACTCACATTCCTTTGATGAAGTCATTACAATAGTTACATTACTTATTACATTTTTAACAGGGTAGCTGTTACATTTCAAAAGGAACCTTCCCAACACTGGTTGTAGTTAGCCAAGGTTGAGCAACTTTTAACTACTTTATATACTTCTGGGTAGTGTTCTGTAGCAATTCATTAGACTTGATGATGATATTAAGTTGATCTTTGACATTGAAAACAGCAGTGTAACTAAACCTTGAAATAAATGGAATAGAGTAATACACAGCCAATTCAGTTTAGTTGAATAGTGCTGCCTTGAAGCAACGAGAGCTGAAGGTTTATCTGTCAATTGACAGAAAATTATTCAGTAGCTGTTTTGATGATCTGTAAATGAAAGTCATTTGCTGCTTCCCCTCTCTAAAATATGATTATTTGTTGTCTTTCTAAGTCATATATGATAGTAATTGAAATTTCTCAAGGTTTTAGACTGTTAGTTGGACAAGACAAGCGATTTCAATAAGTTATTTTGGGCTCTGGGAAATTATACTGGCTATTTTTTTACAGATTTTTAACTACTTACAGACAAAACAATATATGAATTGAGAACATAATACCAATCATTGGTGGCAACACTAGGAGCGATGGTCCTTATTCAGCCACAACAAGCATGATCTCTTTGTTCAAGTTGTGTCATATGACCTTCGTCAGGGAATTTTTTTAATAACTCAGACTTTCCTTACCCTGACGAAGGCCATGCACCCCACTCTAATATTAAAATTCATCATAAATGCAGTGGTTGAATGAGGATTGTTGCTCCAAGGCAGTGAACCTCAGTCAGCCACATAATCAGTCAGGCCTGTTTCAATAAAGCAGAATTTAACCTCTAACATCAGTGAACAGCCACTCTAAACGCCTCACAAGCGGGAGCTGTATTTGTCTTGGGGAAAATGTGTCACTATCACAACGAAGTGCACTGCTTTACTGAATGAAGGTCGTATCCTCATCGGCATCAGGGAGGCTTGTTTTGCATGCATTACACACAATGTGGAGGCAAAAACGGGCTAGGCTGTTAAGACAGGCGTGGAAACAAAGAAAGCAAACTGCGGAGGATGGCCTTCACACCTCGCTGTGGAAGGTTTCTCCTCCTTTTGCTCTGTTTTTCATCTCTAGGTTTGAAGATGATGTGGTGACAGAGACAACACTATAATGCATGCCTAGTATGTCACCAGTGTGTCACTGCCCCAGCCTTCGTTCTGATTATTGACCGCTGCAGAATCGCTGGGGCTTTAATTAGTGCTAGTGTAACTAATTGGCTTGCATATAAGTGACATTGATGGGAGGCAAGAAAATGAATTAATAAGAGGCATTGGCAGATTAAATGGAACCACTAAAAAGTAAAAATGGCCTCCCAGTGAAATTGGCATTTACGTTGAAAACAAAAAAACAAATTCACACACTCGACCGGTCATGGTCGTCTGCATGTGGGTGGGTGTAGGCATCCATTACGTGTGTGTTTACCTCTGTGTACATGTGTATTTAAATATGCGGATGCCACTCTGTGTGCGCACACTTCATCAGAGCTCACGTAACTAGATGTTCATTTAGCTGACAGGAGAAATCTCTCAAGCATTGGATATGCTTCGATGTAAAGTATGTTAACCTTTAAAACAAAGCAGGCCCTGGCCCCTCTCATTCTCCTGTAATTGCTTGCGCTGGGTAAGCACACTCGCCTGAAAAGGTTATCGTGTTCCTTGCCAGTTGTCATGATGAATGAGCAAACATAGCAGGAAATGAAAATTGGAAGTTTAGAAAATCTGCCTCACACTGAGCCGGCATGTAGCATTGGCACAAAATAATGCTCTGTTGTTTGGTAGCCGCAAATTATTAAAAAAAGCAAGCAAACAAATAAACAAAAAGGCAACGCAGGCAGTCAGTAAATTAACACTCAGGGAGGAAGGATGGATTCAAGACTTGCACTGCTGCTACATTAATATTCACTAGAGTCTAGTACACCCTGCAAGTTTCTGCTGGCATATTCTCTTTTCCCTGGTGATGCATGTGTGATTTCACATGCACAACAATGATGATGCATGTGTCTATTGTGGGTATAATTATGTGTGATGTGCATGTGCATCTTCAGTGCGGGACTGTACTCACAAGATGTGTTTGTTGTGCATGTCGTTAAGTCTGCTCCACATTAGATTTTGTGTTAGGGGGTCTGTGAACACACAAAAAAACATGATTATGTGTGCAGTATTTGATGTGCATATGATTATATGCGATGCACGGTAAATTTTGTGCTTGTGCAAACTCATTGTTTGCTTTGGTGAGTGAGAGAATCAGTGTGTGCATACGTGATAGCCTTCCCTTGGTGCACAACTCCCTGTGGGCAGATGCAATCATTCACGTCACATTGTGCCTGCCTTGTTGCATGTCTGTGTGACTGCATGTGTATGTTTACATTGCCTTTTATGTCCTGCAATAATGGCTGTTTGTGGTGGTAGATCGAGCAGCCTGGGTGGTCTCAGCTAGACAGTAGGCAGCATTGATAAGCTGAAGGTGGAAGGTGAATGGCGGGTGAAGGCTGTTATCGCCAGGGGCTGGCTTAGGCTTCGGCACCACTGCCTGCTGGACCCTGAAAACTCATTTTGACAGATGCATCTCCTCCCTAGCTGTCGATGCGTGGTGGGGGGCTGATGACACTCGCTCGCCCAAGCGGCTCAGTGTAACGTTCGCCGGCATCACGTTGAGCAAACCTGCAATTTATACTTCTGCCCCAGGCATTAAGCTGAATAATGACATGCAAGAGGCAACCACCACCTCACCATGCCCGACACTAGACAGCCAGCTCATAGACTCCATAAAGAATGTGATAGAGTATTTTCTATTCCTCACTATTTTAGAGTCTTACCTGTGAGACGAGTTTGTGATGATCTAGGGAAAGTTCTTATTTTCTGTCACTGTGTGAAGTAAAAGGACTTGTTTAGTCAGTTGTGTTTATTCTGAGATTGATTTACTCTTAAAATGTATGCTGTATTTCAGCGACGAGCCACACATCTGGATGCGCCTTTTTTTCAAACACAGATCCACTGTCATTTTTACAGCTGCAGTCTTCCCTCCTGTCACTGACCTGCTCGCAACAGTATGCTCTAAATCTCCCAATTTCTCTCCACAGAAAGCCACATCCCCAGAGTCTACTGTGGTCTACGTCCCTGCCCAATCAAAGATGCTACAACGCTGTCATATTGATTCAGCTTCTCCCTTTCAAAATGTTAAGTCAGCTTACCAAAAGTGCCATTTACCACAGTGGCCACTGCATCCGCGGAAAGCTCTAATTGGGGCTTTTGCATCTGGAAGAAATTAATTCAGAATTACTCTGAGAGTGTCAAAACAAACCATAAATAAAATGATTAAGCAATAGGCTCGGTTCTCCCCACAAGTGGAATAAAAAACACATCTGCAACTCAGACAACTGACATGTGGCTCAGTGCCAGTGAATAGGAGGTGCTTTTTGGACTGCTGCCCACACTGTTTACTCTGTTTCTTTTTTCTCTTTTCAGATTACAGGGAGCATACACAACGGAGGTGACCCTTATCATATCCTGAAGGAGACGAGACATAGAGCATGACCTTGTGTTTGTCTACGGTGCCAAAGAAGAGCCAGGGAGAAGCCTCCATGGCCAGAGAATCATCGCCTTCCTAGCTCCATCAGGAGCCCTTTTAACCCTGCTGCAAGCTGCACTTGGGGGCTCAAACGTTCCCCTGACTCCACCAGGAGGCTCGCTCCAACCCATCTGCCAGCTCAGATAAACCTCTGACTGTTGGCAACCACATGTTTGAGGTGACTGTGTGTGACCGCCGCCGCCGCCCATTCTCGAGCAGCAGCAGCTTCCTGCGACCCCGATCTGCACCATGCAGTGGAGACGGCGGCACTGCTGTCCCATCAAGATGACCTGGACCGTCAAGCGTTCGCTCTTCCGGACCCACGTGGCCGGCCTTCTCTCGCTGGCTCTGCTCTTTACCCTCTTCTTATTTTTCAGCCACCAGGACTGGCTGCCAGGACGCAGTGGGCCCCGGGAAAACCCGCTGGCCTACACTGTCAGAGGCTTCCGCAGCCCCAAGGGAGAAACCAACCAGAGCAGCTCCCTGAGGAGCCTGTGGAGGGAGACGGGGTATACAGCGCCAAAGCCTCTGCTCAACCTTAGCTCTCAGCAGGTGGGTGGGGCAGCGGGGGAGGCAGAAGGAGGGGGAGGAGGAGCCAGGATGGGCGTAATGGGGCTTGGGGACTCCATGAGCACTAACAACAGTTTACAGAAGGAGATGGGCGTGGGAGGGAGGCTTAGTGCTCAGCCCTACCGCTACATCCTGAACGAGCCCTTCAAGTGCAGGGACAGTACGCCCTTCCTCATCCTCCTCATTGCTGCAGAACCGGGCCAGGCTGATGCTCGCAACGCCATCCGCCAGACATGGGGGAACGAGAGTGTAGCAATGGGCTTGGGGTTTGTCCGTCTTTTCCTGCTCGGCACAGGAAAAAGCTCAGACACCTACCTCCAGAGCAGCATAGAGGAAGAGAGCCGCGTTCACCACGACATCATCCAACAGGACTATCAAGACACTTACTACAACCTGACCATCAAAACCCTGATGGGCATGAACTGGGTGGCCACCTATTGCCCACACGCCTCCTATGTGATGAAGACAGACAGCGACATGTTTGTCAATACCGAGTATCTCATCCAAAAGCTGCTGAAGCCTGAGCTGCCTCCTAAGCAGAGGTACTTTACCGGCTACCTGATGAGGGGCTATGCACCAAACCGAAACAAGGACAGCAAGTGGTACATGCCGCCGGAGCTGTACCCAAGCGAGCGATACCCGATATTCTGCTCAGGCACGGGATATGTGTTCTCAGGGGACATGGCCGAGCTGATCTACCAGGCCTCTCTCAGCATACGCAGGCTGCACCTGGAGGACGTTTACGTGGGGATCTGCCTGGCAAAGCTGCGCATCGACCCGGCGCCCCCTCCCAACGAGTTCCTCTTCAATCACTGGCGGGTGTCTTACTCCAGTTGTAAGTACAGCCACCTGATCACATCCCATCAGTTCCACCCCAATGAACTCATCAAGTACTGGAACCACTTGCAGAGCAACAAGCACAACGCCTGTATCAACATGGCCAAGGAAAAGAACGGCAGGTACAGACACCGAAAGTTTCATGGAGAGAGGCCTCCATGATGCATCCTGTGAGACTACCACCCGCCTCAACAAAGGGAGATGGGCGCACTGTAACTACAGCCGGTGGAGGGCATATTGAACTCAGCACTATACACTATATGGGGAAAAGCACATTGTTTTTGGTATTGTGTACAGTCGATGATCCAAACTATTTTTTTAATTTGAAAAAATGTTAAGTATTGTAAACCTGTTGAGCTATTTCTAAAGGGAAGTGCGATGACGAGCATGCACAAAATGTGCTGCGGCTCAAGAGCGGTGTTTATGATAATTCAGGTGCCAACAGAAAAGTGGTAATTCATGCTCCAGTTAATGTGAGGGCTCTCCTCTAAAGGGTAGTACAGTATGTCGCACTCTACAAATCTCAAAAAAAAAAAAAAAAAAAGACACAATTGTGTTTACACAGACAAAGGGAAATGCACATGTATAATGTCGAAAGTTACACTACCTAAATATGAATGAAAGTATCTTTGACGTTGACCAGTTATGCTGCCCTGTTTCTCAGTGTTTACTTTACAGATTTATTAAAGTACACAACTCTAAAGAGAAGGTTTATCCGTCATATACTGTATTTTATTTTCAAAAAATCTACATGAAAGCACTCATGTCACGTCAGAGATGACTGAGATTGTATTTTTTAAAGCTTTACATTGAGTATGACTCTGCACTTGAGCAAATGTGCAATGAATTAATTAACAATTAAATGTACTGAACTCATATTGTGTGTAGTGTGTGGTTTATCTGGGACTCTTTTATACATTCAAGTATCATTTGTAGTGTCTTTACAAGCCATGGGCAACACAAATAGGACTGGAACATAATTCAGTCTTACGGTTTATCGACTTTCATCTCATGTTATGATATACCATGACATTTCATAAAATTCTGTTGTCAAAAGTCAATGATTATATGATTATAAGCACATTTTCATCATGAGCTGAGAAAGGAAGGCCTCGTGTCCACCAAAGCATTTTTTCTCAGCTGAAAACAGCAGATCCTTCTCAGGAAACGCCCAACTGGGGAGTGCTTAAGAGCACTTTGGAGGTGCAGCCTTTTTTCAGCTGAGACACTTTGGTTGTGTCTGGTTGCTATGATACGGAATATTTGCAGAAGAAAAAATATCAGCACAAGGGAGAGTACTTGCTCTGGCCCTTGCCCTGGATGAAGGAAAGGCTGCTACACACAGGGAGAGAAAACAGACAAGCCGGTCTGTGTGGGTTTATGAGAGGAATTATATTAATAAAGTATATTGGCATATTTCTTCTCCATTGCTTTTATTGTTCAGCGCTTGTACACATTAAGCCCTGGTCAAATATTCATGATGAGACGAAACTGTTTCAGAACGTTGCAGAGAAAAGTTGCAGTGGTGTGAAGTGGCCAGTCTGAGCTCAAGCAGGCTGCTGGTGTCACCTGCAACTCAGCTGGTCAAAGTGCCGGTGGCTGGTTTTAGAATGTAAAGCATGTCACCTGTTTCAACAGCCAATCAGTCTGCTGGTTAAGTTCAAATGACCGCAGACGGCGTGTTCGCTTGCTGCAGCATGTGCTCTGTCCCCACAGAGCTCTCTGTTTCCATCCTCATGGTGTGCCGGTGTTGAACACACATTCTCATTGATTAACTGGAGCTGGTCTTTATATTATTGTGGTGTATTTATTATGAATACAGTCCATCTGACGCTTGTTTTGTTTGTGTTTTTCCATTACTTCTAAAAATGCAACTGCAGCCAGTATCTCACTATCACTATCCTCATAATTTAAGAAGCTACAAATTATATTCAGACACAAAATAAACCTGAAAAGCTGGAAATCACAACAGAAGTACACAGAGTCATTGCATAGAGATGGTACACAATCTCATCTAGTTGCAATGGCAGGTTTTTAGAACGTTGCAGAATGATGCATTGCAAGTGTTTCATCTCGTCTTGTTGCAAATCTTTGGTCTGAACAGGGCAATGAAACAAAGGGGTGACAGTTGGTCTTTGTGGTATTTGTCCCTCCTGCATTGTGATTGAACGGCTGGGTAAAAAGCTACAGTGATAACCACAGCATTTTACTCAAACATTTTTCAACTCTCAGAACTCATGCCAAATGTTTGTAGCATAGTATAAATGCACAGCGCTACCACTGCAAAGAATTTAAAAAATATGCTGGACCCAGGAAAAAATGCTTTGATGGACATGAACCCAAAGTTCTTAAAAATTTTGTTTTACAAGTGTGAAGAAGGGAAGTGGTAGCACTGGACTCCACTGGAGCACAATTTAAGTTGCACTGATGTAAATCACAAAACATCAAATACATTTGTCCATATTGTGATATTCATCTCAGTCATACCTCCCAGCCTTGCAGCAAAGGCTAATTTGCAAACCAGTTGCAGCAGCTAAACTTAAAGCTTACTAGTAACCAGGGGTGAAGCCTGATTGTGAAAACATTTCAGGCTCAGCCCAAACCAGGTCTGGGGGAATGGTAAATGGACCTGCATTTGTGTAGCGCCTTTCTAGTCATCCAACCAGCACTTTTTAGACACTACGAGTCACATTCACCCATTCACACACACATTTATACACTGGTGGCCGAAGCTACCATACAAGGTGCCACCTGCTACTCAGTTTTTAACACACTCACACCCAGATGGAACAGCCATTGGGAGCAATTTGGGGTTCAGTATCTTGCTCAGGGATACTTTGACATGCAGACTGGAGGAGCCGGGGATCGAACCGCTGATCTTCCGACGATTGGTAAATGACCCACTCTACCTCTGAGCCACAGCTTCACGGAATGCTCCTTTGGGGAGATTCATTTTTTTTCCCATTCACGGCAGCTGTATGCTGTATGTAGTGCTGTTAAGAATATGTTGTTTTGTATCTAATTGTTCTCCAACTGTCTGACACCACAACACAACAAATGAGGATGACTAATGTCCACTCCTGCCACCTAAAAAGAGACAATATTGTATGATGCTAATATTTTTATGTTACATAAAATAGGGTAGGAATTTGGTGTAAACAACATGACTAATCTTGAAACCTATTTTTGCTGTACTATGCTGGAGTAGAGTTTGCAGAATGAATGTTTAGCTGACAAATCTGCTACATTTAAATTCATGTCTTTATAATGTCTGTTTGCAAATCAAGATTTCCCAGCAATACCAAGTAAATTTCTAGTACTCTGAATTGAATATAAGTCCAAAAGAAGTTACTTAATTACATCAGATTTCTTTAGGAAATAGCATAGGTACAGGGCTGGAGCCCCAGAAGCCACCCTACCACTCCACCCCTGCTTAATTGTTACTAAAGATTTACACCCAGTGACTGCTGGATGTTACTATTGTGTAGCTCACTTAGCTAGCTAGCTAGCTAACTATCAAAACTATAACCTTGCTAAAATTGACTGCTTTTGATTTAAGAGAAAAAGTGAAAAATGGTTGGCATATCTGCCCTGACACTTGGTCTTGAACAACAATATAAACTGGAAAGATTTAAAATGTACGTCTCACAAATATAACACAAACTACAAAACAGTATGTTAGTGCAAAATTGGATATTTGCAACTAATTTAACTGAACTCTGAAGTGCACATTTCTCCATGTGAGCACATAATGAAAATAAAGCACAAGTAACATTTACAAAGGATTGACAGTTACATTTAATTTACCTGCTAGGCCTCTGATTATTGTGGCAGTTATGTGACAGCTTGTTTTGCTACAGGGACTTCCTGTTTACATAGATTTTACATGAGTATTATAATTATAGATTAAATTTCCTAGCAAACAATTTACAAATCAAGTCTCTACTAGCCAAGACATTCCCTAAGTGATTCAGGGAATCACCAGTTTGAAACTAACTTAGCGATGGATAAATGACTAGCTGGTGCAACCCAGTCCAGGATACTTAAGATGCCTTTTGTGTGGGAAAAATGTGATTCAAAGAGTTCATCCATCACATCACTTTTTATTCGAGTGCTGAGACTTCTCCCCTCACCCCTTTATTTCATTGTTTCTCTTTTTATAACTACCGCTGGTTGCATTGTTACTGAACAATATGCCATCTAAAAACATCATTCTGAACGAACCAGGCACATAATGTGTTTTTTCCACAAACATAACCACCGATCGTTAATAAATGGTAATAATGTATTCAGTGGACCTTGGAGAAATGCATTAACTTCCAAATAGAAAAGTAAAACGTTCTGAGAAGTTTAGGTCAGGTAGAAACAATGCGAAGACAATAAGGCTGAGTGATGAGAAATGAATTAAACATTGTCCCCGGGGAACATAAAAAATTCTGCTGCAAAACACCTAAGTTTAGGTTTTAATTAAAAATGAATGCATATAATTTTGAAAGGCTGCCAGTGTTACCCCAGATGGAACTGCCTATGAAAGTGTGTGTGTGTGTGTGCATGTTGGGGTGGGGAGAGGCAATAAATAAATACACACTCCAGTGCTCAGGGCCACCAACAAAAAGAGCATATATAATTGGGCTACGACTTGGAAATAGCCTATATCAGATAAAGGTAATCTAAATAAACTAATGGAGAGCGGGGGCTGCTGCACTTTTTCCACTACACATCTGTCAGTCACGTTTTAATCACCTATACGTTTGAGTGATTCTGTTAAGGGAGCTGTAAAATGGGTAAAGTTCACACAACGGCATATTTTAAGCGGCTAATCACTAAGCAGAGAGGTCTTAAGGGAGGAGGAGGCTGAAAGGTAAAGACAGCGAAGGGAGAGAATATCAAGATGTTCATCTCAGATAAACTGCACAGCACAAAGAATTATTTGATGCTGGAGCCACAGGCAAAGACACAACAGCTATATTTGTTACTTTGTACGCAGTCATGTGAGTGATTATGCCGTCGTATCTACCTCAGTTATCTACAGTTTAGGCAGATTGTTAGGGAGATGTCACATCATTATCTTGAAACAGAGTTTCAAGATGCAACTGTCAGCGGTATCTGTTGTGTGTGAGGTACACAAGATATCTTTAAATCTGAGTCTTGAATACTCATCAGTGACATGATCATCATCTTGTCTTGTGGCAAGAATCTTTTTTGAAGAGTCAGAAATGTCCTTAAGTGATCCCTAAACCATTCTCATTCCCAGGGCATCATATACTAAAGATTTGTCAGGCCCCTCTGTGTTTTACTGTGATGCACAGGGCACCCTTTCGTGTCTTTATGTGACGTAGCTAGCTGAAACACTATAGCAAGGTTAATTTTGAAATATGGTCTCAGCTAGGTTTAGGCAACAAAACTGTTGGATTAGGGTTAGCGTTCGAAAAAAGAGCATGTTTTGGTTTACAATAAGTTTGTTTGTTATGTAATGTAACTTGATGCAAATACGTCCCGTGAGAGCCCGGTCTCACCACTCAGAATTGTGCATGTATGTAAGTGACGTAACGTTACGTTACAACAACACTGACTTTTGGTTTTACACAGGACACGAACTTCAGTCCTCTGAATCAAAGTCCGGTTTTCCCTACATGGACTTTCTCACTCTCTATTCCACATCAGTTTCTCTCAGCATCAAGCATCACCAAGGATGGTTTTACATTGGAGTTAGTTGAAAGCCCAGTGCATCTCAGAAAGACACTAAAGGGTGCCACTACCATTGATATCACACTTTGAAGGGTGTGACAAAGCTTCAGTATTTGATGCCCTGGAATTCAGAATGGGCTGTGATATCCGTAGTACTCTGTATAGTTTTTCCTGTTGTGAGATTCCAA